AAACGTAACCCATGGACTGAAAAGGCACAAAACACAGATTTCTACCATTGAGTCTGGGAAGCCTTCCTCTGGTGGGTCTCCAGACAGTAAATCTTTTGGCAAGATCCATAGTAGTTAACTAAGAAATCCAAATTGGGAAATAACAAATTCCAACTTTGCTTCACTTTATCAATACTGCTAAGGGAATGATGTCATTGTTTGGGGTTTTGCAAAGACATTCCGTGTCACTTCAGTTTTAATACCAGGCTGGAGCCTGCGTGGTCTGCCAGCATAAGCCAGATAAACAAAGACCTGTAGTCTTTCTATTCATCTCCAGATAGTTGTTCAGAGAGATTCTGGAAAATATGCCTATTATGAACTAAACATTTCAGTTTTCATTTTATCCATGTGCCAGAAGTCCATTCCTTGGATAAACACTTTACAAACTGACACTCTAAAAGTCACTAAACATGATAAAGTATGTGTGCATCAGTTCAGGACTGATTAAATATTTTTCTCTTCCATGATGAATGAACAGTTACATTCTATATGAAACCATTGGAACCAACACACCTCTTCCTTCCTTCCTTTTCCCCTTCCTTCTTTATTTTTTTATGGTCTTATTTTGCATGAAATATTAATTTTCCATTTCAACTCATTTGTTACACAATCCTGGCTTTGGTGAAATATCACCTAAGTAATAGTACATGTAGAAATGGTAATTTTTTTAAAATATGTGATTTAAAGTTCTTTTAAAAAGTGCTTTCTTCTATTACTATTTCTTGCTTTTGATTGCTGGTTATTTTCAACTGCCATTCTAATATTGAAATGAAATAGGAGAAAAGAGGGAATTAGTATATTCTCTTTAAGAGTTAAAAGACTCTATGAGAGAATTAATATGCAAAATATGCAGTCAAATGTTCATCATATAATAGGGCTAAAATAAAAAACTTATTACTTCTGTATGATTGTGATAATTTCTACTCTATCCAACAAGATCAGTATGGTCTTATGGTATAATCACAGAATTAAAAGAGTGTGGGGTACAGCCAGTGGTAAAGCACATTACTAGCTGGCACGGGGCCTGAGTTGAATCCCTAGTACCATACATGCACAGAAGGGAGGGAGGTAAGGAGGGAGGAAGGGAGGGAGGAAGGGAAGGGAAGGGAGATAGGGCTAATCTTTCTAGCTCCTTTTGGATCCTGCAGAAGGGAAAGACTTCTATTCAAACATTTTAAAAAAACAAATTGATATAAAACTTCAGAATATATGTATTATATACCATATTATATATTATACATATCCTATTACATATGACAAATGTTTTAATCTCTAAGAAAAAACCCACAAAATCCTAGAAAAATATCCCTTAAAATAGTATCAGTGGTACATACATTTCACTTTGTTTGCCATTTTTCAAAGAGGGTGGGTGTTAAGCATTATACAATTTTAACTTTAATTCTCTTTTCCCAGAATGTCACCTAAATCAACTAATGAGAATACGTTTTCTACTGTAATAGTTAAAATATAATTCATATTTTGCTTGTATTAATTTCTATCAGCTTTACTAATTCCAAAAATAAATTTAATCAGAGCAACAGATAGCTGGAATTGTGTGTTTTTAAAACCTGTCCTTATTTTACTTCAAAAGTCAGAAGATAGGAGTTTTACCCATGGAATTTAAATAACAAAGGAAATACAAAGAAAAATGCATTACACAGTAATAAATATTTTAGTGTGGAGAGGTCTATTTTATAACATCAAGCTTCCTTATTCTTTAAATGTATATAAGGAAATGGTAACTTATTAGGCAAATCCAAATTTTCCATATTCTCCACCCATGAGGTGACATGGATACTAAGTAATTCTGTGAGAAAATAAAAATAATCACATTTTGTCTGGTGATCGTTTTCCACAGTTGAAGAAAGCCATGTATTCTAATTAAAAATAAAATAAAACCAGAAGCTGAAATAAACATACACAGTGGGGACGTAGCCAACATTAACAACATCCTGCTGAAATCCATCTTGTAACACAACATGATAGCTCGGCCCAGTGAAATCATCTGAAGATTAGAATATATTCATCTGATTTTTATTTGAATTTTGGATATGGTTCAAGCCTCATTTGACTCGTCGCCTTCCTTTTTAAGAGAATTGACAAGTTCAAAGTGTTTACTGAAAAGCTATATATTTTATTTTTGTGAAATAGGAGCTCCAAATTCCACTTTTTAGATTAATAGGAAAATGTATGCATAAGTAGAATTAGCACATAAAACCAAGATGCTAACACACAAAATAAGAATAAAGATGTGATTTGTTTCAAAAGCTGTACTAAACCACTGTTTCTTTTGAATATTTTTAGTTATGATATTATAAAATGATCCGAAGAACACATAATATTCTACTATAGTACCAGGACATCAAAACAAAAGAGAATTCCTTTCAGAGCCAATGTGTATACATTTTATGGAACATTTTCACAAGAATAAGCCTTTCTAGGAAGACCTCTTATCAGCCACCCTGGAAGAGTTTAGCCTACTGCAAAGAACAAGGAATTCTATTCTACAGCCAAAGAGAATGGAAAGAGAGACAAAGTTTTCACTCCTTTTATAAATGAAGATGCGAAGGCCCAGGCACTTAAGTGGCTTATCTACTTGTATTTCTAGAGTAGCAGAGGTACACTCAAAACATAGTGAGAATCAGTCCACCACACAACCATGCCTTCTTTCACAGTAATCTTGGTGAGACGAAAGTCCTAAATTAGCTCCAGATCCTTCAGGAAACTTCTTTTTTTGGTACAGAAAAGCTGTGTAGTCACTATATGTGTTAGGGAATTGATCACGTTAAAGTATGCTGTGACGCCGCCTCACAGGCTGCATTCTCCTGGTACATCTTGGCTCCTAAAATGACCTCATGCCCTTATCTCTGGTTTGCCTCCCCACCAAGGCCACAGTGGTCCAGGAAAGTTGAAACCTGCGTCTGCAGGACTGGGCCCATAAAAGCAATCTGGCCTGCGATAGGTTAAAAGTAGCTCACTCCTCATAAATAAGCAATAGCCCACCCCAAACTGATAAAGGGACCTTCCTTTCTTTGTTCTCTCTCTCCTTCTGCTTCTTCTTCCTCCTCTCTCCCTCCCTCTCTCTCTCTCTCTCTCTCTCTGCCTTCCTGCCTCCTGCTCGCCTCCCTACAATAAAGATCTCCTGCCGGACCTCTCGGTGCGTGAGTGGCCTAATTGGGAAGGGGCACCCGAAAGGGCACGCGAACCCCCCTTTCAATATGATCATCCTTTGATCCATAAAGCATCGGATAGACTAACTTAGCAATCACAATGATCTGTAAATGACTCTGAACCATTTCTATGAATCAAAGAATGACAATATGTTGCCAATTTGTCACTAGTTTTCTTGCTACAGGGTACAGAGTAAAAGTAAACCTTTTAAGCATTACTAGCATCGTACAACAAAAACTTTCCTCTGTATTTTCTGTGTCAAGGGCTAACGGAAGGCTGGAAAAGGAAGATCAGCTCGGCTGATGCTGTTTCACTGACTTTGTAAGTATCAGAAAGACTGCATGCAGGAATGCAATATGTAATTTTATTTTAAAGCTTGCTTTCCCACGAGTTGCCCCTGGGTCACAATACCTGATTGTTCAGCCAATGGTTGACCCTAGGGTCAGAGAGGCTTACAACATATATCAATAGGTCTTGACACAGTCGGCTCCCCATCCCAACCTGATACTCATGAGTAGGTGCAGCCTAGCATGCTTAGGCACAGCCTCCCAAACTCTAGTATCTTCTGTGATCCCTGAAGGATCCCTCTCGGCTGTCTTCCTCCCTTGTTCCTTCTGTCAAAATTCTGACTGTCTGGCCATTTTGCTTGTTGCTACTGCATTATGGAACTACAAAGGCCCTCTTCAACTGGTCTTCCCCAAGACCTCCAAGGATAAGGAGCTTGCCTTATAAAGTAATGACAATGAACTTCTTCAATAAAACTTTCCCTAGAGGATAATCAGATTCTCTTTAGAAAGTGTGATGGTTAATTTTATGTGCCAACTTGGCTAGGTTATGATGCCCAGTTCTGGGTCAAAACCAGTGTAGTTGTTGTTGTGAAAGCAGTTTTTAGATGTGATTAATGTAGACTTTAAGAAAAGCAGATTCCCCTTCCTAACATGGCTGGGCCTCATCCAGTCAGCTGAAGCCCTTAGACTGAGGAGGTTCCCACGTAGGAAGGAATTCTGTCTCCAGACTACTTTCAGACTCAAGATTGCAACATCAACTCCTACCGGAATTGCCAGCCTGCCTCACTAATTTTAGACTTGCTAGCTCCTATAGACACATGAGCCAATTTCACAAAATAAATCTTTCACTCTCTCTCAATTTTTCTTTCTCAACATCTCTCGATGTCTCTCTCCAGTGCCTGTTTCCCTTAACCCTCCTCCAAACACACACACGTTTTTCTGCAGAACCACAACTAATGGAGTAAAGGGGAGAAAAGATAATTGAGGCAGAAAAGCAGGGAGATTTCTGCTATACTTTTCTCTGCTCACCCGTGATTGCTAATCTCCATTCTAGAAGCGAAAGTACATTCAGGGGAAGCTCTGCCCTGGATTTTTCTATTGAGAATAGGAATTCAATAGTTTTCTATAATCAAACTCATCAACTTTTATTCTTGCAACAGATTCTTTCTTACATTTGCAGAGTCCAAACCTTATTTGAAAGGGAAGATGCTAGTCTACAGCCATACCATCCTGAACGTGCCTGATTTGATCTGAAAGAGAACATGCTACGCTCTTAACAGTAATTTGGTACTCCATGGGGTTATACATCATTTAAAGTCATACAAATAAAATTTATTTGTTCATTTTGGAATTCAAATATACCATTGTATTGGATTTCTTTTTGTTTTATGCTTGAAAATAAAAAGTAAACAAATAATTTGTTTCTTGAGATGAAATAATACTAAGTATTTCACTAGCCTATCCTGAGAAGATAGGCTATATGAAAAGAAAGCAATTTCTCACCATTTATAGGTCTCTGTCAGTGAAGTTTCCTCTGCTTCCTGGTCAATTTTAGCTGAAAATGAAGAAAAGGATGTGAGACAGATAAATACTTAGACTTTCTCAAGCAAAATATGACGTAATATGAAATTTATTCTATTAATTATAATGCATACTGACCAGGAATTTATTTTAAATTATAAATGACACTGACACATACAATTAAAGTGAGCATATTTAATTTTAATTAAGTTGACACTACTATATCAACACAGATTTAGTATGTTACATAACCAATAAAAACTTTCAAATCCTAATCATATCCTAAGAACAGTCAGACTAACTGAATAAAACACTAATTTCATGTTTACATCAAATGTGTCAGGGTCTAAATGCCAATGATTAGTTCAATTAGTTGAAAACAATTCTGTCAAGCAAAGATGCAAACACCAAGTCAAAAACTAAATAAATGGTAACTAACCTTCCTGAGTTATAGTAAGAACTGTGAACTCTGCTATAGAGCTCTTTGTAACAGTGATCACGAGTAAATAGATCATGATCTGTTCTGAAAGGGGTGGTGGTGGGGTGGGATACCCATTTATTCACTACAATTTTGTATAAATTTCAAAAATGAAATTTTCTTAAAGTTGCATAGGAATCTATCATTTAATAAGTACGGTTTTGTCTTTCAATTTATGTATAAGCATTGTAGAATTTATGTATTACTTCACACACACTCTCACCTGTTTCTTCTACATTATATTTGGTTCGATTCCAAACATATAGTTATTTTAAATAATTCCATCTGAATATTTTGAAATACACACTATTAGATTTTTAAAAGGTAAATTGTGACCTGCTAAATTTATTTCACAGTTGGTGATCCACAGTTTGGAAATCACTGAGTTATAAAGTAAAATGCAAATATATCTGTATTAC